CCCCAAAACCCCAAAACCCCAAAACCCCAAAACCCCTTTTTATTATAAAAATATGGAAAATAATAAAAATGAAGATTTAGACCCCAACAAAGGTATGTCTTGAAGCTAACCCTCTAAATCCACCTTCCCATTTAGGAGACTCTGCGAATATCTCGAAAGCAAGCCCGATTTCATTGAACAAGAAGGCAACAAACATGCGTCGCAAAGGGGTAGTTGAGAATGATACTGAAAAAGAGAAGACAAACGTGCATTCCAAAGATCTCATGAAAAAGGCCTTAAACTAAACTTAGGATGTCTATTGAACAAGCCAACTCTAATGTTAAAGGCATTGAATTTGGTAAGCCAGTTTTAGAGATGGAAGATAACTCACTCCATGAGTCTGAAATTGAGGATGAATATTATGAGAATTCGTTGCCACAAGAAAATGAAAAATTAATTCCAAATTTGAATGAGGTACCCAAGTGGATTATCAGAGTAAACGAACCATCTAGAGTAAACTGGGATCTCTTCGTCATGTGACTAGCCACTTGGAATTGTATCTGGATTCCTTTTGAGATTGCCTTTGATCCAGCTGCTGCGAATGGGGTGATAATACAAGTTACTGATTATATTATTGACTTCTTCTTTTTCATTGATATTATTATCACATTTAGGACAACTTATATAAAAGGATCTTCTGGTGACGAGATAATGGAGCCGAAGAAAATTGCCATTCATTATCTCAAGAACAGGTTTATCATTGATCTGCTCTCTATCTTTCCTTTCGGATTCATAATGGGCAGCAAAAATGTAGAGATTCTGAATATATTCGGTATCTTGAAAGTAGCAAGAGTGCTCAGACTCGGAAGGATTATTAATGTCTTAAATGCTAGACAAGAGGTTAAGCTCACGTTGAAGCTATGTAATCTTGTCTTCTCACTGATCCTATACATACATTTAGCTGGATGAACCTGGCACTATATTTATAAAGATACAAAGGACTGGATCCCTCCATTGGATTATATGTTTGTGGAGACAGATTTGTACGATCGCGATACTTTATACCAATATTTGATTGCTTTCTATCACTCAGTAATGATGCTTAATGGCAATGAGGTCGGACCGAGAAGTTTCCTACAATATGTGTTTGTTTCTGCCTTTCTTATGGTCGGAGCTATTCTTCAATCTAATATTTTTGGAAACATGGCTGTTCTTCTCCAAGAAATTAACAAGAAATCTTCAAGGTTTAAAGAGAAGCTAGATACTGCAAAGACTGCTGTTAAAAATTTAGGTAACTCTTTGAAAATAACCATCCAATTGATCATGAATTAATGACCAAATATAGGGCTTCCTCCTGCATTTGAAAACAAAGTTATCAACTACCTCATCTACACTGAAGGCAACCTAGACAAGCAGAGAGAGTTTGAATTGATGAACAATATGATTTCACCTAGTTTGAAGATGCAGATCATTAGAAACATTTTCTACAAAATTGTGATATCTAATCCTATATTTGGAGGAGGAAATCAGGACCTCATTGAGCATGTTTTGCAAACAATTTCAACCATTTCTTTCCTTCCAGAAGATTCTATAATCAAGCAAGATGACGATGGAGATAAACTTTTCTTCTGCTATCAAGGTGAATTAGAGGTTTTGATTGCTGACGAGAATTCTGAAGTCAACAGAACAAATATTCTTAGTCCTGGAGCGATGTTTGGGGAAATAGCTTTGATTTCTAATTGCAAGAGGACTGCCACTATTAAATGCTTGAACTACTGTACCTGTGCTGCTCTGACTGATGATCAGTTAAGAGATATTACTAGGAAATATCCTGAGATTATGAGCAAATTTAAAGCTAGGAGATCCCAATACAATGATTGCTGGAAATCATTTATGAAGAAGTTAATCCTCACTGTTGAGTATTTTCAGAAGCTGAAGCCTACTACAATTGAAGACTTGATATATTCGATGAGGCAAGAGTACATTGGAACTAATAGGATTCTTTATAAGCCTGGTGATTGTATCGAAAATATTAGGTTTATTGTTGAAGGCTCAATGCAGGTAATCATTCAAGAAGTTGTCATAGACCATCTAAGGCAGGCTAGCTGATTAGGTAAATACTCCATTCTTGAACCAACTCCGATAATGTTCACCATCAAAGCCAAAGATAATATGAAAGTTCTATACATCGATTACGAAGTTCTAGAAGAATTAAGAGAAACTCACCCAGACTTGGATAAGGAAATGGAGGCTTACGAGAAGTACATTGAAGAGTACGGTCTGCCCATCTGTGATTACTCAATCCCTTACAAACGTAACGTGAAGACCAAATTCAAAAACGCTGTTCGAAGAGCCATCACTTTCAACGCTTACAAGCACAAGAAGAAATCCAAACTCTCCAGACTGATCGAGGATCTGAGAAAACAGAAGAAAGAGTACGAAGAGAAAGGAGAGAAGAAGATCAAGCGTGAAGAATTCAAGAACGAACTTGCCGACCTCATCTACGAAAAGATCAAAAATATTATCCCAAATAGGTATTTTCCACTGTTAAAATTTGTAGTGATGACAGCCAGGCTTATATAATGGAGATTTTCAAGTACATTAATAAGAAAATGGAGGAAGTCACCAACACTTTGGTCGAGCAGAATGATTTTATAGGCTATGAACTTGGCGATGATGAGTCCCAGTACCACAGCGAGTTGGATAATCTTGAAGATCTCGAGAATTTAGACTTGTTTAATGACTCAAAGGAGGAACAGAAAGTCGAGAAGACCGAGGGAGAGAAGATCAATGATAGCTTTGCCGATTATTTCGGACTAGGGAACTCCCACCAAGACCAGATCAATAAAGCCAAAGAGCAGATGAAAGAGTACAAGCTCAGCCAGTCAAGAAGAAAATCTAAGAAATCCAGCCATGCAGCTTTAGATAACTTCTTGAAAATTGATACTAATGAAGGAATGTCTGAGCAATCAGCTGTGCTTGATAGTGAGAGGAGCTATCCTAGGCTAACTTCTAAAGAGAAACAGGAAGCTATTGACCACGTGAGGAACTTGAACGGAGACCATTGGTAGTCTTTAAACTATTCATTCGATCATTAATGAGGCTTCTGAGAATTTTAAGCTAAAAAATTCAAAATTTTAGTATTTTAGTGGGGTTTTGGGGTTTTGGGGTTTTGGGGTTTTGGGG